ACAAAGTGGAAGCTGGCCTCAAAAAGATTAAAAAAAAAAAAAAAAAAAAAGGCCTGGTGTACAAGTGTGAGCCACCACATTTAGCTCTGGAAAACATTTGAAATGACCTTGGGCGGTCAGAGTGAGGTGTCTCCAACTGCTCAGTCAATGGCAAGGCCCAAAGCAGCCGGAGGGAGCATTGCTCCAGGCTCGGAGTCTGGGACGAAGGGGCACAGAGTCAGGCTGAGTAGAAAGAGCTAAATCCAATTCAAATGCACAAGAGAAGTACCAGGGTGGTTACTGTGGTGCTCACCTATAACCCCAGCATTAGGGACGTAGAGGCAGGAGGATTAATAGCTTTTTTGCTTTGTTTTGTCATTGTCTTTTTGTTTTGCTGTTTTGAGACAGGGTTTCTCTGTATAGTCCTGGCTGTCCTGGAACTCCCTAGTAAACTAGGTTGGCTTTGGACTCAGAGATCTGCCTGTCTCTACCTCCCAAGTGTTGGGTTTAAAGGGGTGTGCCATACACCTGGCATCGCAACTACATCCTTTTGTTTTGTTTTTTGAGACAGGGTTTCTCTGTAGCTTTTGAGCCTGTCCCGGAACTCTCTCTGCTCAGAGATCCACCTGCCTCTGCCTCTCGAGTGCTGGAACTAATAGCGTGCACCACCACCGCCTGGCCTGCAACTACATCCTTTTATGAAGTGGACACCATTACCCCTACTTCACAAAGGAACTAATAGGTCAAGGCTGGCCTTGGTGTACAAATCACATCTGTTTGGCTCCAAAGTCCAGGCCTTGTTCCTGACCCTCTGTATGACCCAGCAGCTAAGTACACCAGGCCATCTTAATTTGTTCAGATGGGCTGAGAGAAAGGGAGTGACTCCCCAGCTAATGAGGATCAGAAGGCATCTGCTTTGCTACAGCCCCCTTTCCGCTAAGAGTTCAAAGTAATAACTCCATATCCATCCCTTATAGGCAGCGTCCAATAGCTGTCATCATTCCATTTATTACATAAATCAACCAAGTCTGTGGAAGGGACCCATGTCTTGCACACCTGTCACTAAATAGGAAGAGAAGCCAGGAATTCCAGGTCCAAAGCACAGGACAGGGACACCTGGGGGGGGGGAGCACTGGGGTCACAGAGAGAGGTCCTTACCTTCTGGCTCTTTGCATATGACAGAGCTCAAGTACCATTTAGGGCCTCAACTTTTCCTACACATGAAGACAAGTGCATGGCACCAGGGGTGCCCTACAGAGGATATGGGGGTGAAAAGCGGGGTGAGAAAGATGAGGTAGCTCATTGGGTAAAGGCCCTTGCTGCCAAGCCCGCTGCAAAGAGGATCTATTCCCACAAGTTGTTCTCAGATCTCCACACGTGTGCTATGCCCACACATGCACACACTCGAAAAATAGATAAACAAAACAGACAAATAAGAACGTTAAAAGAAAAAAGTAAACGGAAAGTTTTGAAGTGGTGGCTCACACCCAGAATAAATAAATAAATAATGTTAGAAAAAAGTAAGCGGAAAGTTTTGATGTGTTGGCTCACGCCTGGAATCTGAACACTCTGTGGATGGAGGCAGGAGAATTGTCAGAAATCTGAGGCCAGTCTGGGCAGACAGTGAGTTCCAGTCTAGCCCGGGCTAAAGTGAGCTGCTGTCTCAAAGAAGGGAAAACGGGCTGGAATGATGGCTGCTCTTCCAGAGGACACAGGTTTTTCTCAGCACCCACATGGTGGCTCACAACTATCTAACTCCAGTTCCTGAAGGTCCTACACCCTCTTCTGACCTCCATAGGCACCCACGTGGTGCACAAAACACATGCAGGCAAAACATGCATACGCAAAATTTAAAAATTATTTTGTTAAACCGGGCGATAGTGACATACACCTTTAATCCCAGCACTCAAGAGACAAAGGCAGCGGATCTCTGTGAGTTCGAGGCCAGCCTGGTCTACAAGAGCTAGTTCCAGGAAAGTCACAGAGGAAACTCTGTCTTGAAAAACAAAAACAAAAAAAAAAGTACATTATTTTGTTAAAAAGGGAAAACCACGCTGGGTGTGGTGGTGCAGGGCTTTAATTCCAGCCCTGGGGCAGAGGCAGGTGGATCTCTGAGTTTGAGGCCGGCTTGGTCTACAGAGCGAGTTGCAGGATAGCCAGAGCTACACAGAGAAACCCTGCCTCGAAAAAAAAATTTTTAAACAAAAAGGGTGGTGGTGGGAACAGCCATGCATGGTGGCCAACCCTCAGTTATTAGTGAGATCACCACCTGAGCTACTTGGCGGCGCTCGATGGGCAGACGACGATGGGGCCATCCCTGGGTCTACCTTAAGCTGGGCTTTGGACGTGTGGTCGGGAATTTCTGTATTTCTGCAGGTCTGCGCGGGTCAACCCAAGTAGCTCCTCCCAGCTCGTCTGCAAGGTCCCCGAAGTCCTACACACCTCCGATGCCATGTTGGGCGGTTCCTCCTTCTCCTGGAGCTTCTGTCCTACGGATCTGGAAAACAAGATCAGACTGACCGACCACCTCGGCTCTGGAAGTCTGCGGGGCAGAGATTGCTCGGAGTTGAGGACACGCGCTCGGCTTGCGGGACGTGAGCAGCACTAAGCAAGCGCGGTACAGTCCTCGGTGTTCCCTCGTGTTTGTCCCTCTGCCCCACGCTCTCCGGGCCTGGTGGAACAGATTCTGTGGACAGGTACCTTCTGGTCTCTTGTGGCCCGGATGGCGTCTGCTGCCCCTCTGCCTTGTCCCCGCCTCCTGGCAGCGTAGAGCCAATTGGGAAAGGTGGGTGTGACGCCTATGGGCAGGACCGCCTCTGGCTGAGCTCCTTGCCTGCGGAAGGGAGGACGTACAGGGTTGTCAGCGAGTTAGCCCTTAGCTATTTGGAGGTTCCCACAAGTAGACCGCTGCTAGAGTGAAGCCAGGTGATAGGAATGTCATCCCAGCAGCACCCGGGAGTCTGAGGCAGGAAGATCATTGGGAGTTCCAGGCCTGAACTGCAAATGAACCTGTTTCAAAAACAAGAAACTGTCACAACGGCCGGCCGTGCCATGTGACACATGCTTGCAATTTCAGCACTTCGGAGGCAGAGGCAGGAGCATCTCTGTCAGTTCAAGGTCAACATGGTCTACAGAGCGAGTTCCAGGTCAACCAGAACTACACATTGAGACCCTGTCTCAAAGCAGGGGGTATGAGATAGGGCACACAATAAATCGGGTATAGCTTTGTGTGCAGGTTGTGATTACAGGTGCAGTCCTGTAAGCTCAGCTTTGGGGAGATTGAGGCAGGAGGACCAGAATTTCGAGGTCATCCTGAGCTGCATAAACCAGCTCAAGGGCAGCCTGGGTTGCATGAGACCCTATTTCAAAAAAAAAAAAAAAAAAAAAAAAAGGCCAGCAGTCAGGGTATGGAAAGATAAACTGCTAAATGCTAAGTAACCTGTGCTAGTACGTACCTGTGACCTCAGCACTTGGGAAGCTGAGGCAGGGATATCAAGAACTCAATATTCCTAAATTCTTCTGGTTCTCAGCCTAACACAGTTCCTCATGTTGTGGTGACCCCCAATCATACAATTATTTTTGTTGCCATTTCATACCTTTTTCTGCTACTGCTATGAATCTTATCTGTGTTTTCTGATGGCCTTGGCAACAGACCTAGATTTCAGTAAATGTGGAAAACCTCAGGCATGACTCAGAAATAGAGCACTTGCCTAGAATCTATGAAATGAGAAGTTGGGGGTAAGGTTCAATGGTGAACACTTGCCTAGAATCATCTGGTAAGGATTTGGAGGTTGGTTCAGTATTAAAGAGCCTGCTAAGAATTCCCCAATGAGGAGCTAGGGGCATGGCTCAGGGTAGAGTCCTTTCAAATCAAGAGAAGGAGAGAATCTGAATTCTTCCTCACCCTGAAAGCATCACCCTAGGAAACCTCAAGCTCTGGCTCTTTCCCAAACCACAAAGTTCAAGAAACTTTAGAAGGCTGGCTACACAGCTCAGTCGGTAGATCGATTGCTTAGCACACAAAGAGCTCTGAGTTTGATCCTCAGTACTGCTTCAAGCTAGCACAGTGGGCTCATGCCTGGAATCCCAGCCCTCAGGAGGTGAAGGCAGAGTCAGGAGTTCCAGGTCATCCTCAGCTACGTGGTGAGTTCAAGGTGGGATGGGGCTACAGGAGACCCTGCCTCAAATAAACAAAATGAGTGAAAACCATTCAGGGTGGTTAAGTAGAGGCATTACCTCTATATGAATAGAATAAACAAAATAATAATTGTATCTCCTTTGTTTACTTTGTTGTGTGTTTTGAGACAGAATCTCTCTATGTCACTAGACTTAAATTCATTGTGTAGCCCAGGCTGGCCAGAAATTGGACATTCTCCTGCTTCAGTCTTCCAAAGGCTGGAGTGACATGGTGTGCCAGCACTCCTGCAATGTCTTGAGTTCTAACAGTTTTGTAGGCACCATGTTAAATATTTTATACTTAAATTCTCACCACCACTCCTAGAAGGCAACCCTGATAATCACCATGGTGCTCCAGTGTAGGGGAGAATGAGTGATTTGCCTAAAGACACCAAGACAGGAAGCTTGAGAGCCTGGAGCCAAATCTAGCATCTCAGGATAACATCTGCCCAGGAAGCTCTCCAAGAGCTGGCCAGTCAGAGGCTAATTACCCGAGGAATCACATTAATGAACAACTGGCTGACAGGGTTGCTGCTGAACCTCACATGACAATCACCTGCCTTCCCAGTCCTTGGAAAGACAACAAACATTTGACAAGGAAAGGCCAGGGATGAGAAAATGCTTACCGAGCATTGCCAATACCACAGAGAAAAGGGATGGGGGGGGGCCCTGTGAGACAGGAATATGCTGCCAAACTTCATGACCAAGTTTGTCTTCAGAATCCACAGGGTGTGAGGCAAGAAAAGACTCACGAAAGTTGTCCTGTGACCTCCACAGGAGTGCTATGGGATGCTCGTGCACACGTACACACACATACACACACACACACACACAAACTAACCACAGTGCTCACTTTGGCACTACATAGGCTAAAATTAGAATTATGCAGAGTAGATTAGTGTGGCCCCTGCCCAAGGGTTTGCTACCTTCTGCCATGAAATGAGCTTGCTTTGTTCTGCCAAATGCTATTGGCCCTGATGTTAGGCCTCACCCTAGACCCGAGGCAATGGAGTCAGCTTACAAGGGAAGTAAACTTCTGAAAACCATGGGCCAAGATAAACTTTTCCTCCCTAAACAACAGCAAATAGGCAAGATGGCTCATCCGGGGAGACTACTACCTACTGCCGGTTCTGGCTACTTGAGTTTCATCCCTGGGACCCACATGTGAAAGCATCTGTGGACAAAATTAATAGAAGGAAGACATACCTATTTGGCCACAGTCTATCAGAACCTGAGGATCCTGGAGAGGTTGGAATGTTGCAGATCTAAAGCCTAATTATAACTTATCCTGTATGTGACCTGATATCTTTGTGACTATCACATTTTTTGGATATACAAACCTCTAGCCTCCATTGACCAAAATGCAAGAATGTTGTCAGAAGAACCTGAGGACTGACTGAAGCAGACATTTCCCGATTTTCTGCAGCCCACTTATCTGACGTTTCCACCAATGTACTTGAGGAATGTTTTCATTTGTGATTTTCTTCGCTGTTACTGTAAAAAACAAACAAACAAACAAAACAAAAAAACAACAAAAAAAAACCTTTTCTAACTGGGACCATTTAAGAACATAGAATTTTGGGTACCCTGATGTTTTCATGGGCCAATGTCACTCACACTTGGCTTCAGAATAAAATGTCTCTTAGACCCTTTGAGGAGAGAGTTGTGTCTTTGTCGACTCACCTGACAAGCCGGCTCACTTACTCCGAACTTGATTTTTTAAAAACATTTTTAAAATTTAAATTAGAAACTAGCTTGCTTCACATGTCAATCCCAGCTCCCTCTCCCTCCCCTCCTTCCCCCAACTTAATTTTAAGAGGGTAAGTAATATTGAATGGAGGCTATTGTTATTATTCGTCTTATCAACGACTTTTTTTTTTTTTTTTGGTTTTTTGAAACAGGGTTTCTCTGTATTGTTTTGGAGGCTGTCCTGGAACTCGCTCTGTAGACCAGGCTGGCCTCGAACTCACAGAGATCTGCCTGCCACTGCCTCCCGAGTGCTGGGATTAAAGGAGTGTGCTACCAATGTCCGGCTTATCAATGACTTCTTTATGGTGTTGGAAATGTAAGCAAAGGTACTGCCTTTTCTATCAATGGGTTACATAAGACAAAAACTCAATTAAACAAAACAAAAAAATTGGGCCGGGCGTCTCGCAAAACCAAAAACAAAAAGAAAGAAAAAAACTGCAAAGAAGCTGAATGGCAGAAATTAAAATTCCTCCAGGGTCACTTTCCTCTTCTTGAAATAAAAATATTTGCCCAAGGCTGCAATCTCTGTGAGAAATTGCATTCTGTTTACCAACTGCATCCATTTGTGAGGCTAAGCTCTGGCCACAAATTAGAGGTACAGGGCCCCTCTGGGTTAGGAATAAACACCCAGTGTGACTCCCACTGGGTGCCCTTGCCCTGGGTGTACATGTTTGCTTGATTCGGCACCACCATGTTCCCTCCTGCAGGAATAAAGCATTTTTTTTTTTTTGGTTTTTCGAGACAGGGTTTCTCTGTGGCTTTGGAGGCTGTCCTGGAACTAGCTCTTGTAGACCAGGCTGGCCTCGAACTCACAGAGACCCGCCTGCCTCTGCCTCCCAGGAATAAAGCATTTTGTGTTCCAAAGATCGCAAACACATGTATCACAATGGTAACAGGCCTACCATGGTCAAATGGAATATTTAATAGTTAGTTCAGGGGCTGCAGATGTAGCTCAGTTGGTAGAATGCTCGTCTCACATGCACAAAGTCCCAGGTTCCATTCCCAGCACCTAATAAGCTAGATGTGGTGGTGCATGCCTATCTTCCGGCCCTTGGGAGGTAGAGATAGGAAGACAGAGAGTTCAAGGTCTTCCTTGGCTACGTAGCCAGTTTGAGACCAGCCTGGAGTACTTAAGGCTTCGTCTGAAAACAAACAAACCAACCAAACTCTAAGAAAAGCATAGCCCGTTAGTTCAAGACAATCTCTGACATGTCAATGAGGTTGAAGTTACTGTGCAGGTGCCTAGATAGATACCATTTGAACACGGGTGCACCCCAATTCTCTATGAGAATTCATCTCTGAGTCATTTTATGGCGTGGCTCTCAGAAGCACTTAGCCTGTATTCCAGAAGAATCTATCTCTGAAGCCTTGTTTATGATTGTCCCTCCTTGCACTCACCTCAAAGGCCTCTGGCTTGGGGACGCCTCTCTGCCTTGTTAGTCAATCCCTCCTCTATACTACAGAGTATAAGCACAGTGTGTCATGATCATTTATGTCCAGAACTGGTCTCCCAACTAGGCTGTCAGCTAGCTTGGACACAGCGTGCGTATTACTTGTATTTGAATCACCAATACCCAGTGGGTTATTGCTCTAGGATTGTTGGGTGAATAGCACACTGAACATCATTGTGGGACTCATTCTGCTCGACACAGGGACAGGGCACTCTTCAGTGCAGCATAGTATGTCAGCTGGGCCTGGGATGACATTTTGCTTACTTGTTGATTTTTCACTTTGTGACCCAGGGTGGCCTATTTGAACTCATCATTCTTCTCCCTTGATTTCCTGTATTATTATAGTCATGTACCACCATGCCCGGCTTTACTTGCTGAATACATACACACATACACAATAACACACATTATTTTTTTTATGAGACAGGCTTCTCATATAGCCCAGGGTGGCCTCAAACTTCCTAAATAGCTGAAGATGCCTAAAAAACAAAACAAAACAAAAACTGTATGCTAGTCTGACCTTGAACTTGCTGTATAGAGGATGATCTTGAATCCCTAATCCTCTTGCCTTCAACTCCGTAATGCTGGAATTATAGCAGATATGGACCAACAGGTCCAACCTTTTCTCTTTTTTTCAAAGATTTATTTTATGTATATGTGGGAGTGTCTGTGTGTATGTATACACTCCACATGTGTGCCTGGTGGGGGCTATAAAAAAAGGCCTTGGATCCTCTGCAATTGGAGTTCTAAGTTGTTGTGAGTCACCTCATTGGTGCTGGGAACCAAATCCTGATCTTTTGCTAGAAATGAAGCACTCTTAACTGCTACACCATCTCTCCAGCTGTCTCTCTCTCTCCCTCTCCCGTTCTCTGTTTCTTTGTGCAGCCTTGGCTGTCTCACAGAGATGTGCTGGCCTCTACCTTCCTTTTTTTCCCTTGCTGGAATTAGAGGCGTGTGCCACCATGCCTGGCTGGTTTCTGGGTGGTGTATGTGTACAGGGGTCTCCAATAGCCCAAGATAGCTTGAAACCCAGTCTGTAGTACAAGCTAGCCAGGAACTCGTGGCAATCCCCCTGCCCCAACCTCTCTAGTGCTGAGATAACAAGTGAACTAACTGACCAGCTTGGAGATTTTTTTAACGCGTCCAAAGCCGGAACCTTATCTCACTAAAACCCTAACAAAACGTAGACCATGGAAAAGGTCTACATTTCGTCTCCAAACGCTCCAGAGGCTGAAATTCGAAATCGGTACGACGCCTGGACTCGAGGAGGAGCCCGGCCTTCCCCGCAGCGATCCCGGCATGCAGCACGGCCGTCCCAGAGTGCCTTGCGGCGCGCACACAGAGGCGGAGAGCTCCGCGGCGGTGGCACAACGCGAGGCCGTTCCTTTCCAGCGGCTGCGCACGACCAAGCAGAGGCGACATGGAAGTGTAAGCGGCACGTCCAAGGGAAACCCGACTCATCTGGGGGCCGTGAGGCGGCTGCTGGCCGACCCTCCGCACTCGGGAGCTGGGCGGGTGGGCGGAGTGGACGGGACGGAAGTAGCTGGAGGTGGGGCGACTGGGGAGGGATCCTGCCGGTCCGGCCACCACATTCTTTCAGGAAGGGGAACGTAGGAGGAATTGAGGGTTTTTTCTGTCTGTCTGTCTGTCTGTCTGTCTGTCTGGTTCTGGGTATGAAACTCAAGACCTTGCGCGTGCCGCGCAAGTAGTCTGCCCCCCCCCCGGGGGGGTACGCACCAGTCATAATTACTATCCTGGGATGCAGGCTTTGCTTATGCTAGGGAAACACTCTACTACTCATCCACCCCCCCCCCATCATCATCACCATCGTCATTTTGTAAATGCTGGAGTTGGTACCCAGGACTTTCCACACGCTAGCCAAAGGCTTAGCTTCATCCCCCGCCGTTGTCGCCGTCGTTATTTTGTGATACCGATACCCAGGGCTGTGAACATACAAGGTGTGCTAGTTTCCTTTCTGCTGCATGACGAACACCATGACCAAAAGCAACTTGGGGGTAGAAGGGGTTTATTACATCTTTTGGTTCTTTTGAGACAAGGTTTCTCTGGCTGCCCTGAAACTCTGTAGTCCAGGCTGGCTTCGAACTCACAGAGATCTGCCAGCCTCTAGGGTTCACTACCACTGCCTGACTGGGTTTATTACATCTTACACTTCAGGACACAGTTCATCAATGAGGGAAGTCAGGGCAGGAACCTGAGCAGAACCCGTTCAAGAACTCTGCTATCCGGTTTACTCTCTGGCTGCTTTCCAACTTTTTTATACAGCTCAGGACCACCTACCCCGGGATGGTGCACCTGCAGTGGGCTGAACTCTCTGGCATCATTTAATAATCAAGACAGTCCCTCATGGACATGCCCACAGACCAACCTGATAAAAGACAGTTCCTCAATTGAGGCTTCTCTTCCAGATGATGCTAGGCTATTTCAAGTTGACATTGAGGTCAATCAGGAAACTAGGCAAATTTCTGAGCTAACTCCCCAGACGCCATCATCACTATCACCACCACCACCATCATCATTTTGTGATATTAGGGATAGTATCCAGAATCTTGCACATGCTAGGTGGGTACCACTGAATGACACCCTCCACACTATTATTATTATTGTGGTGCTGGGGATGGACACTAGGGATGCTAAACAAGCCCTTTAACACTAAGCCACACCCCCTATCATCATATTGTGTTTGGAATGGCAGCATCCTGAACATTCTAGGCAGTTACTCTCCCACCAGCAAAG